GAGCTCGCACAGCCCCGGCCGCACACGTGCAGCGAGCCAGGGCCAGGCCCCGGCCGCCACCCCGGCCAGCGGCCACCTGTGCAGCCGGAGCCGGCTCTGCCCCCCGCCCCCGGCTCCCCACGCGGCAGAACTCACCTCAGCTCAGCGCCACCGCCTGCTGCACCCGGGAAAGTAGGAGCGGGAGCAACCCCCCCTTTCCCCGCCGCCGCTGCCCCGCCCTTGCCGGGCACTGGGGGCGGTGCTACGGCCCGGCCCAGCCCAGCTGCGGCAGACGGACCCCGCCCCCACAAACGCCGGAGCCGCTCCCGACCGCAGCAGCGCCACGGGCCTGGGAGGCCTGCAAGGGACGCTGCTTCCCAAAGGGCCGTGGGGTTGACGGGCCGGAGGAGCTGGTCCCTTCTCAAGGCAGTAGAAGGGCCTCCAACAGGGGCCTCTCGAGCCCTAGGACCCAAACCGATGCTTTCAGGGGCAACTATTTACCCAGAGAGGCCTCTCTATTTCATCCACTCGCAGCCCTCTCCTGCTCTCCCGCCTCATTGTGCCTGGGAAACAGCACCGCCGAGGCTGTGATGGCAGAGAACTTGTTCAACTGAATTAAGGCTCGGAGGTACAGGGCTGTGACCTGTGACACGGGGGAGCTGGGCTCCCGCACAGCATTTGCTAGCCTGACATGGGGGAGAACATCTTCCTGACCCCAAATCTTGCTTTTAGCAGGACCCTATGCGGGACCCTCCAGCTAGGTACCTGAGAAGGCTTTAGAGCACTGGGACATGCCGTTGAAACCCCCAAGTGCCTGTGGCTGGCAACCTTCAGAGAAACGTGGAAAGAAAAGAGAAGCCAATTAGTATTCATGAGGGAAAACATACACCTTCCTAAAGCACAAGGATTTAGGCATGGGATTACTAGGTGCCTCCCTCACAAAAAAATCTCTCAGCTCTGGCATGGGGATTCGCAAAACTTTAATCCACATACCACAAAAACTGATTGTTGACCTTGTTCTATCAAAGTGTGCATCCCAGATCTTGTCAAGTTTGACAGGGAGCCACCTGGGGGTCTTTACCCTCACTGCTTTGTCCAGAAAACCATTCCAAAGCTTCACTCCTATAAGTCTAATATTATAAAAGCCTTAATCTGACTGTCTGTCTGTCTGTCCATAACACTTCATTC